GGAGCAGGGTTAGGCAGAGCGGCAGCTGAGCGGCGAGATGAGTAATGCTGTTTAGGGCTTTACTCACTCACTGCATCACCCCTCCTGGGATTTCTTTCCCCATTTTTTTTTTTTATTTAAGCAGACAAAGAGGGTGCTGGAGACACGAGGGCTCCACGCGCCCTGGACGACCTGATCTGCCCTAAAATAAAATGGGAGTGCGGCTTCAGTTATTGCTGTCTAGGGATTCTCCCTCCCCCTCTCCATCGGCCAGTAGAAAACCTTTCTTGGTGTGAAGGAGCGGTGCCCGAGTTCACTGCATTGAGCAACTCCGGTTTCAAATAACCTCCCCAAAAATCTGCAGCAGGAGGAGAGGCAGGAGCCCGAAATCCCACCTCTTCCCTCCTCTCCCCACGACCTGCCCTGGTGAAGCCATCGCTGGCGAGGGTTGGAGGCATCGGTCCCTCATCCCCCGCAGCAGACCCCCTCCTGCTCCCCCCTCTCCTCTCCGGCTGGGGCAAGGGTGGGGTTTAATTAATACTTGGAGGCGAGATCCTGGATAAGCAGCGTGGCGTGTGCCAGCTGCGGCAGGTCCCGGCTCGCACCACGCGTCTTCCCCTTCAGCCAACTGCATCTGCACCGACGTGAACGCGATGGTGGCCGTTGGGTTACGTCAAGTTTGATGCTTTTTCTTGGGTTTCATTTTAGGTCAAGCTCTCCAGATTCTTGCGGAAATCCCTTCTGGACATTGGGCACAGCTCAGCAGGGAAGGCTGCCCCATGCCTGCTCTCATCTTTGTCACGTTGGGGGGGGGAAAGGGTGCCCAGCAAAGCAAAACCACCCTGGCATGATCCGACTGGGGAGGCAGCGGCAACCTTCCACCCCCGAGCATTGCTTTATATTAGAATCATAGAATCACTTTGGTTGGAAAAGCCCTTTAAGATCATCGAGTCCAGCCTTTAACCTAACCCTGCCATCCCACCACTAAACCATGTCCCTAAGCACCTCATCTATCCTTCTTTTAAATACCTCCAGGGATGGGGACTCTACCACCTCCCTGGGCAGCCCATTCCAGACCCTGACAACCCTTTCGGTGAAGTTTTTCCTGATGTCTAGCCTAAACCTGCCCTGGCTCAGCAAGCCTAAAAATCTCTGCTAGCGCCTTTGAGCCAGGGCTGAGCGATACGCTCTGCTCTGTAGGTAGAATGCGGCAATGTTAAGAGTTTGTCCAAAACCAACGCGGGGACTCCAAGAGGGCCCCAGCTCAAAACTGCCAATGCTAAGTACCAGCCACGCTTTGATACCCACATGCAAAATCCATCGTATAAAGTAAAACCCAGGCTTGAGCTCGCTTAGCCAGGAGGCCAAGCTACCCCAGCACAGATGTCTTCCCAAAAACCACCCAAAGAATTTGATCCCATCAGCTCTCTGCTGCCCCGGCTGATGGATGCTCTTTGGCCAGAAAGGATGAGCCTGTGCCTGGGGCTTCTTGGCACCACCACTCCAAACCAGCAAACCTCACCTCTGCTTCTTGGGTGTGCAGAGGAAGATCAGCCCCTTGCACCAAGGGCACATACGCTTTATCCGAAGCACGGCATTCATTTCCCAATCTTTGGGAGGAAAGGTTGTAAATTGGGGTCTTCTAGCTCAGGGGTGGCTGATGCTGGTGAGCACGTAATGGAGAAACCCCCCCCCCCCCGGGACCCTTCATCTCTCATCTGTACCTGGGGAATCGCTTCCCTGGGGAATTCTGCTGTTTGCTAAACTGAATCGACAGAGCTGTTATGTTTAGTAACATTTCAACTGTTGCTCATTTGATTCCAGTCATTAAAATTTAATATTAGCGTAAGCTTTGAGAAACCTGAGCTGACAGCAGCGAGAGCGGAGGGGGCAGAAATGCCCCAGCCTGAAAGCTCCTTTGAGGAGCTCTCGCTGGTGGCCGTCACTCGTCCCTCGCGCTGAAGAGCCTGACTCTGGTGCGTGATGCTCTTACAGACCCGGCGCCGACGTACACTTCCAGCTCTTAGTACCCTTTGATACAAAAAAGGGGCTTCTCAGAGAGGCAGCGATGGGGAGGCAGC